AAATTAAGTCATACGTAGCTGTCATCCGTACGCAAGGAAGTAAGCACAAGATGCCGAACACCCTTAGCAGGATGCAGCTCACCCTTCATGCGACTCGCCAAATACCTCACGGTGCTTCGCGCTTGGTGATGTGAGAGCCTGGTCCGGTGAGAACCCGGCGTGCTCCGTCCCGGCTTTGTAGGGATGCGAGGTCAATGGTCTAATGACTACGGCATGCACGACTATGAGTACACCCCCCCCCCTCCACGGCGTACCACCAGACAGACCGATCACCAAGTTGGTAACGTAATACGATGTGGTCGCCATGTTGTAACAGGGTTGTCAAGCCACTTTACCCTTTGAGTCTCTCTAGTGCCAGTACACCACGGGTATATCTGCTTTAGTGCGCAATAGGCCGAAGCGAGTGTCCTTCGTGACTTCTCTCGCACACAAACTTGCGTTTTTCTTTTATTTATAATTTTTCGAATTTTCGTCCCTTTCTTTCCCCACTCTCCCCCGCAGCTGCCCATCGACCACTACATCACCCACACGTTTGAGGGCGTAGACAAGACCAACGACGCCATCGACGCCCTCCATCATGGCGGTTGCCTCCGGGCCGTTGTCACATACTCGCACTAAGAGCCGTGCCGTGCAGTGCAGTGCAGTGCCCGCGTGTAGCTTCTGTAGCGGGCGGCGGGTTGTGGTTTTCATGTTCCACTGCTGCGGTTGGTTCCTGTTGTGTCGTAAGAGAATTATCTCTTTTGTTCCGCTTGCATGGGTGGCGACATGCGCGTACAGCAGTACTGGCGTCGGTACGACCTGCCATGCCCCACCTTTTGGCGTAGCACGTGGTAGTATGTGTTGTTTTCCTAGCGCTTGTTTCGGGGTTGGAGTTGGTTATGTTTCGGGGTTTTCCGTTCTGTTCCGAATGTTATACGCTTTTTTTCGTATCACAATCAAATCAAATACATAAGATGTACGTATAGAGCAAGGGGGTGAAGGGGGGTAGACTCCTAGAAATATCCTACAAGAGGGATGTGCATCAAAGAAATTGACTCTGCCTGCCGACAAAAACACATAGGCTATTCGTGGAGGTTTCATGTATGGAGGGAAAAGTGCCCTGGCTGGCGGGTTCGTCCCCGGACGCACCAGCCGATGGTCGTGGGCTACAGCAAGCGCAGCAGCACTGCTCCGTCATCCTATGCGTTGTGTTGGAACCGTCCTGATGGACTTTCAGTTCACGGGGTGCATATTGATTCACTGTGAAGATACGCGGTAGGACTTGCGGTTGTGAAGATACGCGGTAGGACTTGCGGTTTCATGGCATGGACGCCAGGTAGCGAGACGCAAAGGTCAGTTTCTTCGTGGAATTGCCTCGCTGCTAGTTACGTGGTAGGATTTGTGGTTTCGTGGCATGGAAGCCAGGCAGCGAGGTTTCCTTCGCGAGATGATGGGCTATGTAGGTGGCGAGTTCACGCTTTTATTACAGGCGTCCTTCTCCAGGTTTGACGTGAACCCCCAAGTAAGTGATCGTGGAGGCCCGCAGTACTGTAGATCAGCCCTGCTGTGACAGGAGGCTTGGTTGCATTTATTTCTGTCCTCGCTTTAGTTGATGAGAGCAAGCCTTTCGTAGATGGTGAACGAGTGTGATGAGGTCGGCACGTTTGGTTCAAGACTACTGTACTATACTTGCCCACCTCCGTGAAGGACGGTATTTTTCGTTCCCAGCGGCAACGAAGAAAATACCACAAAACTATGTACGCATAGATCGCGAGGCGCGGGCGCGGTCGGGGGACCACCGTGCCCCTCGCGCTGCAATTTGCTTGTTCCTCGTAGTTTAGCTGACATGAATACAGTATCTGCTTCGGGTACATCCGATCAATCCCTCCCTGTTGTCGAGACGGAGCAGCACTCTTGTCGTTTCTTCTATTATACTAGAAAAAACACGTCCAACACTCGAGCTCAAGCGGACGGGGGGTGGACGCATTGACACCATCCAGAGCTAGCCCCCGTCTTCCTACGGTGGTCGCTCTCTCTCATAATCGGTACGATAGGCGTACAAAAGAGTTTGTGCGGGAGTTCTTTTCCCTACCTGCTGCGAAGAGAGGGGTGTGGAGGCGCCTCTACCGCGCCATGGCAGTGTATAGCGTTAACGGTTAGAGAGCACTTGTGTGTGCCCTTCCTTGATTTTAGGACCGCGCCGTGTTTGGTCGGATGTTGTTGTTGTTGTTGTTGTTGTTGTTGTTGTTGTCTTCACATTCAACTCGTGTCAGTTGCTAATCACAAAGTCTAGCAAAGCAAAGACTTCGGTCCGTGGTCACAAAAGTGCTATGCATCGAGCCATCAGAAGATCCGGTCGGACGTTGTTGTTGTTGTTGTTGTCTTCACATGGTAAACCGTTCCGTTCTCTCTGCCCAGTACCTTCTTCTGTCCATAATTGGCGGGGTCGATTCCCGTGGTCACAGGCTAACTTAACCAAAAAAAGTGTACTTCGGATGCAACGCTTTTTTAGAAAGTAAACATAACCTCACAGAAGTTTTGAAGGATTCAGATGTAATGTGTAGACGGAACAGAAGAGAATAGTCCCTTCTAGAAGGCGCGGAGAGATGTAACTCCCCGCAGAGGGATAAAACAGGGGACAGCGTCTAGTAGCCCCTGCTTGCTGAGGATCCTGCGCCCCTTTGTGTCAATGCTACCGATACCCAAGGCAACAGCTACTGCTGCTGCTGTTCTGCAAGAGTAGTAACAAGTGAGTTCTTCTTCACGGGTCAACCAGACTTCATCACGCGTGCATACCACCACACTTGGCGTTGTCGGCTTATTCGTACGGTGTTGTCTGGGTTGGTTGTGTCTTTGCACGGTTTGGTGCTTTAGGCTGCCGCTGCAGTTTTTTGCGCTATTGTCCCAACCAAAGCTTAGCTTCGCCTCGCTTATCGGTATGTCTCAACCTAGCGTCGGCTCTTCGGACTCCGCTACGGCGAGTCCTGAGCATTCAGAACGTTCGCGTTCGCCAGTGTTATCGCCCCGCGTAGCGACCTTCGGGTCCCCAGCAGCTGGTCGTCAGACCACGCAACTGCTGCTGTCTTCGGACAGTGCTTATGCCGCTGACCCTGTTGCCGAAGCCGCTCGTTTGTCAGAGCTTCGCGCTCAACGCACACGGGAGAGGTTCGCCTTGCCGGCTTCGGCCGACGCTAACCCCATGGGTGCTGTCCTCAAACCGCCAGCACCCACACCTGGAACTTCGGTTTCCGCCTCTGTACCTTTGGGTGCAACAGCAGTCCGTCTCGCCGGCTGCTGGTGAAGAGCTTTCTGAGTTCCCGCATGAACCACATGTCGACTCGAGTTTTCCTCTCGCTCCATCCACCGTTGAGCACTCTGCTCTTGGGACAGACATCGGTTTCGACCGCGATGCTGACCCTGTAGTACCGCGCTTGTCCAGTCGCTCGGCTTCTCGCAGCACGTTGCAATTTGACTATAGTCTATACAGTGCCGGCGATTCCCCCTTTCTCTTCGCGTAGCGATCGTGTACAAGCAGCGCTCAACGGCTTCGTGACCGCCGTGCATCTGCTTCAGTGACATCACCGCTTGCAGATTCCGCCGCATCACATTCGTCTGTTCCAGTAGTTTCGACTACACGGGTGATTTCGATTGTCTCTGGTACACTCCCCACCGTAGGTGCGGCTACCCCGGCCCGTTCGGTTGATTCCAATGCATTTGATTCCGTGGTTTCGTCCACACAGGCAATTTCGTTTGCCTCCGATTCTAGCTTCAGTAGTTTCGACTACATACTATAATATGCGGTTTCGACTGCTTCTGATGTGCCTGTTTCTGCGGTCTCGACTGCTGCAGGTGTATTTGCCTCCATCCCTTTAGCTCCGCCTCTACCCACAGTTTCGACTGTTCGCGGTGCCTTTGCCTTTGCAGCCCCACGTTTGCGTACCGTTTCGACGCTGCGTACTGTGCCGTCTGCCCCCCCAGATGCCTTTCATGTTCCCACTACCGGTGCACCTGTTTCTGCGGTTTCGACTGCTGCACGTGTACTCTTGCCCATTCCGTTAGCTCCGTCCCTACCCACAGTTTCGACTGCTGGCGATGCTACTATTCCTGCAGCTCCGCCTCTGCGTACCGTTTCGACTCTGCGTACAGTGTCGTCTGCCCCCTTCCCCGCCCCCACTATCTCCGCACAGGGCCCTGTGCCAGCTACTTCGGCTGCTGTAACCACCGCTGTTTCTATGCCCGTAGATGCGCCTCTGCCCGCATTTTTCACAGATTCACGTGTTCACACGGCCGGTTTCGAGCCTACAGTTTCGACTGACTTTGCCATGCTAGCCTCTGCTTCGGCGCCCCTTAGCTGCGACTTCGGTTGTTTCCGCAGTGCCCTCTGCCGCTGCACCTTTTATTCCTCCTAACATGGTGCCCCCCCCCCCCCCCCCCCCCCCCCCCC